GGAGCCCGCGCTCTGCAACCAGAAGCCACTGCAGTGAGAAGCCCGAGCACCGCGACTACAGAAAAGCCCTTGCAGCAATGAAGACTCGGCACAAAGAAAATAAACAGAATTCTTTTTTTAAAATAGTAAAAAACAAAAATACCATCACAGTGTTAGCAAACAGTGGTCTCCTGACAACATTCTAGGTAGATTATTGAACTATAATTAATAATTATTTCTGTAGTAGGTGGTACAGAGAGCTGCACATACCCACTCCATACCCACCCTGACCCCAAACCCAGCAGTTTTCCTCATTAACATTTTGCATGAGTGTGGTACATCTAAATGGATCTGAAATTTCTCCTTGTCTCTACTTTCTGCTTTTTCTCTAATCAACAGGTATCACTTTTTTTCTTTAAATGAATTTTGAAAAGACCAAGAGCCCCTCCTAATCTCCAAAGGTAAGAATATTTTCATATGAAAAGAGAGGTGCTTTTTTTATTGCCTTTGCATTTTCCAAATTTCTTTCTGTGTGCTTTTATAATCACTGCGGAAGACAAAAATGACTCCCTTCCAGGAAGGCAATCCCTGAGGAAGGGAGGCACTTAAAGGCTTTTATCTCTTGGTGAGAAAGATCCAGATGCTTGTGTGAGATAGCAGAGGCCTGTGGGGCTGGCGGGAACAGTGCCAGGGTCGGGAAGAGCAGAGAAGCGGGCAGTGAGGGGGTGGGGCTGGGGGGAGGGCATCAGAAGCCCTTTTCCCGGCTCGGCCCTGCCTTCTCCCGGTGGCCCTAGAAACAGCTACCTACCTTAGGGTCCTGCTTTCTGAGGAGCCCCTTTCACGGCCTTTGACAGCCCTGTCCACCCAACAGGCTCTGGAGCAGGCTCCATCCAACAGGAAGTCACTGACCCCTAGAAACCTGGAACAGAATGATCTTTGACAGACAAGCCAACCTAGTCCAGCCTCGTCTTTCCGCAGAGGCCCACAGAGGTCACCAAACCTCACCAACAGATGTTGGGCCCAGACCATAATGTTTTGAGACTCAGTGCAGCCTACCCTGGAGCCTCGTCTCCATAGCTCGCCAAGCTGGCTGAGGCTGTTTGCAGAACGCAGGTGGACAGGAGGACAAGGGTACTAGCAGGGCTGAGATCGAGGCAGAGAAGAGGGGACCGAGGACTTAATGAAACTGTTCCGGAGAGGGACTTCCCTGGTGCTCCAGTGTCTCAGACGCTGCCCTGCCCATGCAGGGGGTCAGGGTTAGATCCCCGGTCAGGAAATTAGCTCTAACATGCCGCAACTAAGAGTTCACCTGCCCCGACGAGATACTGCAACCAAGACTCCGTGCAGCCAAACTGATTTTTAAAAACGTTTTGGGTAAACCCAGACTGGGGAGACTTGCTTTGGGCCTACAATTTCTCTGTGAATGAATGCCCCAGGTAGTCCCTTTGAGTTTCTCAACTTGGGCGCTACTGACTTCGGGGCTATTCCCAGATTGGGGGGGTGCTGCCTTCTGCACCGCAGGATGTCCAGAAGCAGCCTTGGTGTCCACCCACGACGTGCCAGGAGCAGCTCACCCCCTTCTCCCAGGTTGTGACCTCCACTGACGTCTTCAGACGTGGCGAAATGTCCTGAGGGTAAAACTGTCCCTACTTGAGACCCACTGGGCTAGAATATGATGTTAATCTAGTAAGACCATATCTCTAACACTGACCTCATCTTCCTGGTTCCGCTTTTTGGGGGAAAGAACTCTCTAAGTGCTTTCCATAAGCAACTATATCTAGTTAGGATTTAATTATATTAGTTTGTATGGTACTGTTTTTATCTCCAAACAGACATTGGGGAATTTAAGGAAAACAGCACTGAACATTCATTCATTCAAGCCACCTTCACCTAGCACCTACAATATTCCGGGCACTGGGGATACAGTTAACAAGACACACAATACCAGCTGCCCAGAGCTGAGGTCTCTGCTGGTTCCTAGAGCTAAGACCGAAATGGGCAAGATGACCAGATGACCTGCCTAGCAGGCCTTCTGGGTTACCTGCCTCTTTCATTGTCACTGAGCTCTTTTACAACAGAATACTGTAGTTAACACAAACGATTCTCCTTGGTAGAGATGCAAATGAGTTTTGCCCAATGGAATGCAGTTGATTCCAGCCCTGTGAAGACTGACTCTGTTTTTCCATCAATTTACTTCAATCTTCCTGATTGCTGGAAATTGAGTTTTTTCAATTCTCCTTTCAATCAGTTCTAACTGTTGATAGAATCTTGGATACATGTTCATTTTCCATTTGTAGGAGTCTTGATTTTCCAGTTCCAAAAGGTTATACTTTAACAGGATAGACAGAAAATAAACAAGCCAACATTTCAGAGTGCAAAACGCCATGTAGATTCTACAACAGGGAAGCACAAAAGAGGTGCTTTTATCCTTACTTGATAAAAAGTTGGCAACTGTAAGCGTTCTCTTCTATTTCCCCATTTTTAAGAACAGTTTCCTGCTTTGTGGAATCCCAAAGGTGAGCAATCCTAAATTCCATTATAATTTCCAGTCCTCTGTCTGCTGGGGTCTTTACCACACAAGAACTTGAAGACAGAATCAGCCTACAACACAATTAACCCAGGATATTTAGGAAGGTCAGTGAAAACGATTTCTCCCACCCAGGATGGCCTGAAAGCCATCAGGATAGCCAGCAAGCATTAAAAAGCAAAACAAAACAAAAGCTGGTTCGGGTGAAGTTAATAGTTAAAGAGGCAAACTTAGACGCCAGGTGTGTCCACAGCACAAACCACGGGATGATAGAGAAGGCCATTTCAGTGCTTTTCACTTAAGGACCAACGGTTATCCCTTCAGCATAAAACACACCTCTGTATCCTTTGTCCCAAGCCTTTATAACACTGGTATTTCTTTCAATTTACCTCTTTCCCTGAATTAATGGGCTTCTCTGGTGGCTCAGGAGACATAACAGACACAGGTTCGATCCCTGGGTCAGGAAGATCCCCTGGAGAAGGAAATGGCAACCCACGCCAGTATTCTTGCCTTGCCTGGAGAATCCCATGGAGAGGAGCTTGGCGAGCCAGTCCATGGGGTCACAGAGTCGGACACAACTGAGCAACTAACACAACTGAAGTCACTGGTTCCGTCCCTGGCTCTGGCTCGGGAAGAGTCCACGTGCCTCCAGGCAACTAAGCCCGAGGCTGCAGCTACTTTAGTCCCTGAGCCCCAGAGCCCGTGCTCCCCTAGAGATGCCGCCGCAACCAGGAGCCCGCTCGCTGCAGCTAGAGCGGCCCAACTCGCCACAGCCAGCGAAAGCCTGCGAGCAGCAGCCAAGACCCAGCACAATCAAAAATTTAAAAAAAAATTTTTTTTTAGACTCTGAAGCGCAAAGTTTGATGCTTCTTTTAAACACATTTGTGAGGTCTTACCTTAATACCTCAACTGCAGCATCCACTTCAGAGAGGCAAATTTGCTTCCTTCGCCTCGTTTTGGCCTTGTTTAGCTAATGCTCCATTTTCATTATTTAGAAATAGTTGGAATTCGTCACAGCAAAGTGGTAAGGACCTGAGAGTTTTTTTGGCATTTTTTTATTTAGGGGGAAATCTGAATTTTCATGGATAACCAGGACCAAAGCAGGATCCCTAGACCAAAAGCAGTTGCTTCTCTCAGCATATGACAGGTTAATAGCTCTGAAAGCTAATAACTCACTTTCTGTGAAGAGAAATGCGCATTTCTTTCTGTAGCCGTTAATGACTTTGTTTGGAAACAAGGAAACAGAACTGAGGGAGCTGCCAGGACAGAGAAGGATTACGCCACAAGCAGCATATGCTTTCTCCACCAAAACGTGCCCCTTTAAGTGGCGATGGTTACGGAATCTATAAAGTAAATGGGGATGAGGAGAGAAGCAAAGGCATCAATTAGCCACTACGGTGTTCAGATCTCAATCAGACAAGGGGCGCCCTGGTGGCCCAGTGGTTAGCACTGCACTTTCCAGTGCAGGGGGGACTAGCTCGACCCCTGGTTGGGGAGCTAAGACCCCACACGCCTTGTGGTCAAAAACCACAAAACATAAAACACAAGCAATATTGTAACAAACTCAGTAAAGGCTTAAAAAATGGTTCACATTAGATTTAAAAAAAAAAAAATACAAGGTCAGAGTCACAAACAGCCAAAGATAGCTCTTTGATGGATTCAAAATAGCTTCCCCCAAACCCAGGAAAGGGCCTACAACTAAGGTTCTGCCATTTTGTAACTTCCAGCCACAAGCATTCACATGTCCTGGGGTAAGCTGACCCAGGCGGTGGTGGGGAGGGGGATAAAATGTACACGCTGGAACCAATGCTGCGACTCCCCCTGAAATACGTTGCTGTTTCCGTATTGGAAGACACACAGAAAACCCCCCGTAGGATTACCCCCACCGGCCTGCTCTCTTTGTACATTACTAGAGGATGATGACGTATGCCATTGCACGCATGCTTCCCGGGTTACGGACGCCAGGAACCGTGGTCTGGAAGGTGAAGGAGGCGCCCACCACCTGGGGCTTTGGCCCCACGTGCCTTCCTTCCTCAGTCTCAACAGACTGAACCAAGAGAATCCTCATGATCCACAGTTGGGACCAATCTTTATGCTCATCTAATCCGGGACACAGTTAAGTGTTCAGTACGTTCGCCTTCTCGTTTCACTCGTTCGGTTCAGGAAGCTGGAGTATCCCCTTTGTGCTGCATGCTCAGCCCCTTCGGCCGTGCCACCTCTTTGCGACCCCGTGGACTGTGGCCCGCCAGGCTCCTCTGTCCATGGGGTTTTCCAGGCAAGAGGACTGCCATGCCCTCCTCCAGGGGAGCTTCCTGACGCAGCGTGTCTCCGGCACTGCAGGCAGATTCTTTACCACTGAGCCACTGCGGAAGCCCCTATCCTACTTAGCTGGGTGGAATTTCTCCCAAGGCAGCTGGAAATGATCGTCAGGAAAGGACTCTCAGGTGTGGAGCAGAAAATAACAGAAAAATGTACATACACGCCGGGTGGTGAAAAAAAAAGAACCATTCAAAATTTATTCTCCAACAGACAGACAGCATCAGCAGGTAAAAACTACAGGGGTTTCTCCGTAGATCATACATTCACAAGGCATTATTAAGCTTAACAAGTGAGAAAGCCTCTGGTCTATCTTCTGTAACAATATCCGCTTCACAGTGTAAACAGGTACTATTATTGTGTTCACTTACAATTCCAGAAGGAAAGGCACAATTCGGCAAAACAAAACAAAAAAATTTGGGGGGGGTGGGGGGGGGAATCCTAAAGTCAGGTGCAATTACCAAGAGACAGACTTGAGAACAGCCACAATCCACTCTTCCAAACAGAGGGGGCTAAGACTTCTCCGCCCAGAAATGTGGGTCTTTCTCCTTGCTTGTTAAATCTTCCAGAGGAACGCTTCATCGTCTGCTTAATATCACATATACAAAAGGGGGGATTAAGAAGGAAAAAAAGAATCACAACAACATCTTGAACTTCCAGCTGCTGCCACCAATACATCAACTCTTAGGTTTACGATAGGGTCTAGGAACACTTCAGCGGTCATCCAATAGGAAAATAGAGACTATAGCTACAAAAATAACACATGAATGAGGTAGATAAATTAAAGCTTTCACATCCAGGACTCGCCTGTCCCAACTTGGTAGCCTTCATGCAATACTCAGAAGAAAACAAAAAAAATCTTCATAATTACTTGGCATAAGTCACAATCAAGGAAATGTTGGTACAAACTAGTATAAGAACTTTTTAGTATATAATAAGAAAACATGCCCTTCCATGAGTTTGTTTCAAGAATGGACACCAAGCTCTTCAACAGAGCAGGCACTGGTGAACTAAATTACATCACCTGAGATTCCCTGCTCAGGTGTTCACCTCTCCTGGTTTTAGGAAGAAGGCGGCATCTGGAAGGGTAGAGAGAACCTTGGCACTCTTGAGGCTCCAACTGAACTGTATTTAAATAAGCAGCAACACACACACTGACTCTCTAAGGACTAAAATCAGTCCACTTGAGGGCATCCTACTTAAGGTTCCAAGGTTGAAAAACACTTTGGAATTCTACAACCTTGGTTTTCCAAAAAAAAAAAAAAAAATACATTCAGAAAAACAAAAGAAAAATGGGTGCAGGGTTGGGAGAATACAAAAACAGGTCCCGAAACAGACGACAGACCTTGTCCATTTACCCGCATACAGTCCCCGCAGAATTAAGTATACAGCTGCCCCCCACCCCCACCACTCCACCCCCCAAGCAGGTGAAACAGGTGTCTTCTCCATGGTGGTTCAATACCTTCCAACTTGAAAGAGGTGACCATCTTTGGAAACAGTTACTCGAGGTTGTACAAAGGTTTTTATGTATATAGTTTGTTGCAAGTAACAAAACTACTTTGCAAGACCCGCTTTTTTCCAAAATTTAAAAAAATACTAGTATTTGTTTTAGTAAGAATTTTTTTTTCCCTCTCTTTTCTTTTTTTGCAAAGCAGCATAGCAACATTGTGATTGTAAGACGTGCCTGAGGTTGTGGTCACAACTGTAAACATTATTTGCACATCAGGAAGAAAACTGGAGGAGATGGGGGCCTTAAAGAGAGAGAGAGAGAGAGAACAAAAAGATACAGTTCTCTAGAGAGGTCACTGCCTGCACTGCTCTCGGAGGTGCATCCTCCTGCGGCTTAGCTGACTGCGATCTTGTTTTCTTCCAGGAGGTGCGGGAACTGGTGTTTGGGGACATTGTCGGCGGTCCCTGGCTTCTCCACTTCGGCACTGACGGCAGACTGGGAGCCATCGATCTTGGAGGCGGCCGTGTTACTCAGCACGGAGCTGGCCCCCAGGGACACGGGGAGGGTGGGGATGCCACCACTCTGAATTACGGAGATCTCGTTGGTCTTCATGGCCAGACCGCCGTTGAGCATGGTGGCATACTGGTGCCACACGACGGGGTCCACGCTCACCGAAGGGGCCGCGATTTCCTTGGGAAACATCTCGGGGACCCGCTTTCCGTCCGTGCCTAACAGAGCCATGGTGTTCTCGATGGCCAGCTTCCGGCCACGGCGCGCCGAGCTGTTGTTGGCCCCGTGTGTCATATAATGGACCTGCGGGAAGAGGGGCAGAAAGGTTTCCACCAAACAGGTTTTGGCGTGTGGGCCAAAGTCAAGTCTGCCCACAGGTTTGGTCCACCTAAACTTCTAGTTTAAAATTAGGTGTCAGAAAACTCCCTTGTGGTCCAGTGGTTACGGCTCCATGCTCCCACTGCAAGGGGCACAGGTTAAAACTCTGTATCAAGGAACTAGGATCTCACAAGCTACAGAGAGCAGCCAAGAGAAAAAAATTAGATTTCATATTAAAAAATCCAACAAGACCGTCTAGCAACAATGGACCCACATTCCTGCCTAGAGGCAAACGAAGTGGGGGACACACACTCCAATGTTCCCCATCCCACTATTCACGGGCACTTCTGTCAACACCTACTAGGTAGTAGAGTGTTGTTTCGGGTACTAGGGTTACAATGTGTTTAACACACAAACCTACAGAGCTAACAAATGGTATGGAACCTAAGGCATAGAGACTGGGCACAACGGAAATGGGAAAATACGGGAGGCCAGTAGCGTACATCAGTGTCGATACCCTGGTTATTACTGATTCTATGCACAAATGCTAAGTTGATTCAGCCATGTCCAACTCTTTGCGACCAACCCCATGGACTGAAGCCCTCCAGGCTCCTCTGTCCATGAGATTCTCCAGGCAAGAATACTGGAGTGGGTTGCCATGCCCTCCTGCAGGGGACCTGCCTGACCCAGGGATCAAACCCACATCTCTTGTATGTTTCCTGCATTGGCAGGTGGGTTCTTTACCACTAGCACCACCTGAGAAGCCCGTTTATTCTACAGCTGAGCAAAATTAAAATTCTACCACTGGGAGAAATTAGCAGTGTGTGAGCATCTCTGTGCAACTTCCCCCTTTGTGGGAACTGACCCAAATAAAAAATTTGAGTTAAAAAAATTAACTTTTGAACAAAACAGACCCTGCCCTGAGGGAGCTGACATCCTAAATACATAGTGTCAACAGAAGCAATCCTTGCTGAGGAAAAAATAAGCCTAGCTGGGAAGGTTACAGAGGCCACCAGGAATGAATGTTATTTCACTTACGGTGGGAAACAGGACAGGGACTCTTCTGAAGAGCAAAGACACTCGACTGCCTCCTGCTTCTTCAACCCAGCCTCCTTTCTGCAATTATTTTCCCAGTTTGGCTTTTGAGTTTTCAAATCCCTTTTTTAAAATAAAAAGTTGAAGACCGTGGTAGGCAGTCATCAAGTCTCAAAGCACAAGACAAACCCATAAAGGACTTATCCATTTTATATTACGAACATGACAATCATTATGTTTCCAGATCTGCAGGATTTTATGAAGGCAACTAACATCCCAACTTCAGAGATCTTCTAATGTGAGAAACCTGTTTCTTTTGGTTTTTTTAACTGCACTGCACAGCTGGGAGGCTCTTAGTTCCCCACCCTGGGTTTGAACCTGGGGTCCAGCAGTGGAAGCACGCAGTCCTATCCACTATTCCTTTTTAAGAAATACTATTTCAAGAGCCAGTTTTGAGACTGCACGATGTAATATCCCACTTGGCCCTGATAGAAGGATTTATTATGGGTGAATGTTGCTGCTTAACACTGAGACCCCCTCCCTGCTGAAGCCCAAAGGAAGCTCACCTTCAAGTTGCCTTTGGTGGTGAAAGCACGCCCGCATATGTTGCACACGAAGGGCTTCTCCCCGGTGTGAGTCCGCTCGTGGATCTGAAGCGCGCTGGCCGATGAGAAGTTCTTCCCACACCTCGTGCAGCCGTGCTGCTTGGCCTGTCGTCGGGGCTGAGCCGCTAGCAAAGGCGTCATACCTGGGGACATGGTCGCGGGACCCACAAACCCACCAGGAACTTCAACTTTGACATAGGTCGGCTGGGCTCGGATAAATGTCAATGGAACGCTGCTCCGACCTGTGCACAAGAAAAAAAAAACCTTTTATCATCGCGTCATCACTCATTCCTCAAACCAAGAAAGGAGTTTTGACTACCACTGCCCCGCCTTTTGAGAGTCTGGAAACACCTTTCAGGAAATTCACACCTTGGAAGCAACTTTCTTCTTACTTATTTAGCTACACAGAGAATAACGACTCCGAAACTTAAAGAATTTTCCTATTGGGTGAGCCAAAAAATTCGTTCGGGTTTCTCCAAAAGAGATGGGCACGCCCAAACAGACTTTTTGGCCAACCCAGTATTTTGGCTTTTAAAAGGTATCGGCATCAGAAACACATGCAACGCAATTCCAAGTTCAATTCCCACATCAAGTTACCTTTAAAGTCTGCTCTGACACCATCTTTCCGATTCTACAATAGTGTTCCCCCATTCGACCATTAATGCCATCAACAGGCACCCCACAATTTAAAATAGGTTAGATTCTCTTTTCTCCCTCAAGAATTACTCATCTGGGATTCTTATATTAGGGAGTGGGATCTCTGAATCAAGGAACTATGAATTATCTCACTGGCATCCACTTCCTCAAAACAGTCTTCTAAGAGAGCATTAACTTAAAAGAATTCCCATGTGGCCACCATGGGCCTCCAACACAAAGATCAAAACCAAGCAAAGTAAACTGTCCACGCCCAACCTGCAAGAACTATCCTAAGTGAACAGCATGTCAGGACTACGACAGAGGTAGTCACTAACTGCCCTACAGAGGAGCTAGTTCACTCTCCATCGGTCGAGGTGCCCCCAGGTTCCTTCCGGATGACCTCGAACCCAGAATGGACCTAAGTGAAATCCAAAGCTCTATCACCTTCCATCTCTGTGCGGCTGCTCTCGGAGCCGTCCCCTTTGCCGTCTGCGTCCGGAGACTTGGACTTGACGCTCTCCGCCTGGCTATGGGCCGGCGAGACCGCCTGGAAGGACGTGCTCTCCAGAACGTCTGGGCTTCGGCTGGCGCACTCGGGGTCGCCCATCACCGAGGAGGCGTCGTCGTTGGTTAGGCCATCGCTCTCCGCGGACCCGTTTTCTCGGCTGCCCTGCCGCTGCAGGACGAGCGCGGCGAGCCCCGCCTTCACTGGGGCGTCCAGCGAAGCCGCCGTGGCCAGCCCCGGGGTAGGGGACACCGCGTGGACGCTGGCGAGGGGCCCGGGGACCCTCGAGGAGCTGCCGAGGGCCTCCTGGGGGCAGACTTCATCTACGTCGATGGCTTCCACGACCCCGTCGTGAGGGGGCGCGCCGGGGCTGCTGTTCTCCCCGGCCGCCGCGGGCTCGGGGCCCGCGAACTCGCAGGGGCTCTCGGGCAGAGGCGTGTTGGGGATCTGGCCGCCCATGTGCATGCGGATGTGCTGCTGCAGCAGGACCGCGTTGGTGAACTTCTTCTGGCAGATCGGGCAGGAGTGCTGCGTCTTCACCGACGCGCTGGTGCGGTGCACCCCCAGGTGCGTCTTCAGGTTGCCTTTGGTGGAGAAGGCGCGGCCGCAGACCTTGCAGGGGAAGGGCCTCTCCCCGGTGTGCGTACGGTAGTGCATCTTGAGCGAGCTCTGGCAGCTGAGGACGCGGTGGCAGATGAGACACTCGTTGGGGTCGTTGGTGGCCTTGTCTATGTTCTCCACCAGCCGCTGCAGCTTCAGCGTCTCCGATCCCGGCTCGGGCGGCCCACCCCCTGGGAAGCCTCCGACCCTGGGGGAGGGATGGGTCGGCCCCACCCCGGACAGGATGGAGCCGTCCTCACTTTCCGGAGAGGGCCCGGGCTGCAGGTCGCCGGGCAACGGGCCCCCCGAGACGTCCTTGGGGTGAGGCCCCGAGGGGAGATTCTGAGCTAGCCCTACGACACTGGGGGTCCCCGCCGCGAGCGCGGGTTTGCTGTCTAGGGAGAGCCCGGCTTCCTCGAGGGGGGCGGGGCCGGGCAGCGCGAAGGGAAGGCCGCTGCCCACCGCCGTCTTGTCGTGGAAGTCGGCAAACAGCTGGGGGTTTGCCTTCACCTGGGGATGCCGGTGGAAGTGCACCTTGAGGTTGCCCTTGGTGGTGAAGCGGTGGCCGCACACGGGGCACACGAAGGGTCTCTCTCCGGTGTGGGAGCGGAGGTGGATCTGCAAGGAGCTATCAGTCCCGAAAACCTTGCTGCAGTACTTACACTTGTGCCGGCATAGCGCCTCGTCCTTGAGTTGGACCTCCACCGGGGAGACGCTCGGCGGCTTCCCCTTGCCTTTCTTGGACGGGTCTAAGGCCACCGCGGAGAAGGGGCTCTGGAAGAGCACGGAGCCCGGGGCCTGGGGCAGCAGCGCCCCGGGGAGGCGCGACAGGACGCCGGGCAGCACCCGGGGGGCGTCCGGCTTCAGGGCGAAGGGCGGCAGCCCCGGGGAGGCGGAGCCGCCGGCGGAAGGGACGTTGGCGTGAGGTAGCTTGGCGGGCTTCAGGGCGTCCAGGGGCAGCCCGGCGCTCCCCGCCTTCTGGCTGAGCAGGGCCACGGCCGCCGACACCTGCTGCGACACGTGGCCCCCGAGCGTCTTCAGCGAGTCGGCCGCGTGGCCGGCGTGGAGGGCGTGCGAGGCCCACATGTTCACCTGCACCCGGATCTGCTCCGTGAGCTGGATCTGCTGCAGCTGCTGCTGCTGGAGGCACAGGATCTGCTCCAGGACCCAGGGCAGGCTGCCGGCACCGGGCAGGGGCGCCGGGGGCGCGTCGGCGCCGCGCTGGTTCACGGCCACCTTGGTGCCGCGCAGCGCCTGAAGCGTGACGTTGGTGCTGGCCACCTTGCCTTTGGGTAAGTAGCTTATGTCCTGCGGCGCGGGCGGCAGGGCGGCCTCCGTCTTCAGGTACAGAACGGACTCCGCCCCCGGCTTCTCCCTCGCCTCCCCGGGGCCCCCGCCGCCGCCGTCGTCCCGGTGGCCCTCCCTCCGGCCCGGGCTGGGCGGCTGCGGGCTGAGCACAGTCCCCGACAAGTCTTCGGACGACATCGGCCCCTCACTGTCCTTCAGGATGAGCACGGGGGGCGTTTTAGTGCAATTTTTCTTGTGGTCTAAGAACTCCGAGAAGCTGAAGAACTCGGCGCAGCATTTCTCGCAGACGTGGGTCTCCTCCCGCCGGGGCCGCTTTATCCCTGCTCCGTCCCCATTCAGCTCGTCGCTGCCGCCGGTGTATTTCATTGGAGCACCTGCGAAGAGAGAGAAGGAGATGAGAACTCCACCCTAGGAAGGACGCCGGGCGATTGGGGGGGCGGGGGNGGGGGGGGGGGGGGGGGGGGGGGAACCACAACTCAGAATTCAGAGGTCTTCATTATCTGTGTCCTAACAATTAGACCATGGAAGGGAATGAGGGTCTCAGTGAGCCAACCATTCATGTAGTGGGTGGAATCAACCCCCAAATGTCCAATCCTAACCCGTTCCCCTGTGCATGTGGTCTCCTGGGGGAGGACGGAGAGAAGGCTCTGTGCAGCTGTAATTAGGGTGAATCCCAAGCCCAATGCCTGGTGTCTCTAAGGAGAAAAGGGACAGGAAAACTTCCCTGGTGGTCTAGTGGTTAAGAATCCACCTGCCAAGGCAGGGGACACAGGTTCAACCCCTGGTCCAGGAACATTCTACATGCCTTGAATCAATTAAAGCCCATGTGCCACAACCACTGAGCTTGTGGGCCTAGAGCCCATGTTCTGCAACCAGAAACCACCCCACAAGGAAGCCAAGCCCTTGCACCGCAACTAGAGAAAGCCGGCATGCAGCAACAGAGACCCGGGGCAGCCAAAAATAAACCGAAATTTTCCTAAAAAAGACATGAGACAGAATAAGGCCACGTGAGGCCAAGGCAGGAGTTACAAAGCTCTAAGCCAAGGATGCTGGACCCAACAGAAGGCAGTAAGGAGGGTGCATGGTACACACTCCCCTTCTCTTGCCTCCAAGAGAAAAGGACCTGCTGCTCCTTAGTCTCAGGGGTCCAGCCTCCAGAACAGTGCAAACAGACTTGTCTAGTGTGTGCTCATTCACTAAGTCACGTTCGACTCTTTGCGACCCCATGGCTGTAGCCCGCCAGGCTCCTCGGTCCATGGAATTTTCCAGGTATGAATACTGGAGAGGGTTGCCATTTCCTTCTCCAGGAGATATTCCCAACCCAGGGATTGAAGCCAGGTCTCTTGCATCTCCTGCACTGGCCATCTAGTAATCTGTACCAACTTATTATTAAGGCAGTGCTGGGAAACTCAATATAATTTATTAGAATAATCCCCACGGAGCTCTCTGCCCCACCTCAGAGCTGGCTTACAAAAGCAAATGGATTGCATGTCATCCATTAAAATGACACTGGAAGCCTGCTGTTCATCTCCACCCTGGGTCCATCAAAAGTAAAACTGCAATAAATCACTCCTTCAGACAATGTGGTAACTGTACCTTCCCACCAGAGATGCTGGAAGTTTAAAGGTGCCAAGAACTATGACGGTGGTACTAAATTCACCTAAAATATGGAGACCTAAATAAGATGAAGCCGATATTCCGAGGAATATGTGAGGAAAAAAAAAAAACACTGGGAAAAAAAAAAAAGGAAAAATTGCATGTCTAAGAAAAAGACTTTACTGACCTTCCTGATTATGGAAAACCTGTAGAAATGCCACAGCATGACATTAAAGGACTATTAAGCCATTAAACAAAGAACGAAGCCCAAGAAAAGAGGGGAGGGATGGAATGATGGGAATTTATTCCTCGCCCTCCATTCGCAGCTTCTACTACTGTCACATTAAATCAAACAACCTTCATACTCTGGGCAGTTCTTTTCCTAGAAATGATTGGTCCCTGGGTTTCTTTTGCCAGTTGGGTCCCACTTCCTTCACAGTGACTGCCGGTCTGCATGTTGAAACAGCTATTGGGCAGCCATGCTTTAGCCAGATGCCTGGGCCCTGGTGAGTGGAGACTCTGTAAATTACTTGACTGTTTTCATTTCCTGGCTGTTCTGTTGTATGTACACCCTGACCTGAGAAGTCACACAGGCACACCTCAGACCCAGCAACCCCAGGTGTGCTGAGCTAAATCACAGACCTTTGCATATGGATGCAAAGATCCACCTAGGAAGACGGGTGTTTTTCACAGAAATGTTTATAGCCACAAAAGGGGGGGGAGTATGGGATATAAATTTTAGTATACCCACAGTATGAAAACAATGTAGAATTTCCACATGTCCTGATTTGGAGACAGAAGTTAGGTGGAAGTAGGTTACAGAACAATGTGCAACAAGTGACAGTTTTTGTTTAAAACAAAAAACACCTATTTGAAATGTACAAATGAATGGGGAAATAGCCAGGATGTCAGGAAGTATTCATTTATTTTTTAAATAATCACTTTTTAAAAGAAAATGAACCTATTTTGCCTCTTCTTGGGTGATTATATTTCCCAACACCATGAGTTTTGACTGAGGAGTCAGTCAACAATTTGGGGGAGCGACTGATCTTGAAACAGTATACTTCTCTTAAGAAAGATCTGTACTTCCCAACAGACTTTGAAACACTGGTTCTTTTAAATTTCCACAGCATAACCTTAATAAATTGACTTGATCTTTCCTAATTTCAGACTAGGTAATAATCATAAGTTTAGCAAGGTATATGTGGGCTGGGGTGAGCCAAGGAAAAGAAAAGAAATTATAGTAATCTACCATTCACAAGTTTGATATGGTAGGTTTACCCCTCAGGATTTCTATTAAATGTGTACAATCACGACAGCTACAGAAGGTAGATGCCTGGGTTAAGTAATGTGATTAATGGGGGGTGATTAGGAGTGTGGGGCCATCCTAGGATCTGGGGAAAGTACAGATACTGTAGGTGTTCAGTGAACATCAATTTCTTCACCTTGTCTATTTCAGTGGCTTGGTTACCTGGGCAACTAGGGCTGCTGAAAATAAGACTTAATAACAGTCATTTAAAGCCTCACTCATTTTAACAATCCTTCTCACTTCCCACTGAGAGCAAGGCAGGGCTAGGGGTCTGACGATGCAAAGAGGAGCAGCCTGGCAGTCCCCTACGGTCCAGACTAGAACCTCGAGGTGCCCTGGGGTCCACGCTACATTCGTCCATTCCTGTTAAACACCAGCCTCATTTACAGATGAGAAAAACAGACTCCCAGATGTGACTTACCCAAGACAACACAATAAAAAATGTAGTCATATTAACTGTTGAGCACTTACTATGTACAGGTGTCATTTATGTTATTAACAACTAACAAGAGACTATGACATTTAACAGAGGGGGAGAATGAGGACAGGACATTAACTTCCCCAAGTAGTGCAGCTAAAAAGCCCCACATTGGACACAGATCCTCCCTCTGAGCTCTTCATTCCTGCACTTCCTTCCTCTCCTAGTATGTTTCTTTTACTGAGATGGCAACTATCTTGCCTCTTGCAGAAACCCCTGGGGAGGACAGGAAAACTTGAGGGGGCAGGTTGGGGTGGGGGGTGGGACAGGAAGGGTTAAGACACAATACACCCCAGCTATTTCCATGGGGTACAGTAAGTAGGTACCACCTTCCTTCCAACTCTACAACTGCTCTAAAGCAACCATACTCCCAAGAGTCAAGTTAAAAGTATTCATCAGTTCCCAGAATCATTAAGCTGGTGTATCTACTGGTACATTTGTAATGGGGAGCTTGTGGAGGTGGGTTAAGTGGCACCATCTTTCTGGAAGTGCGACTCTGGCAATTATGTGTCAAGAACTTTCCACGGGAAACTTAAGAGGTTTCTCTTGGGAGGGAAATAGACCAGCCAGGTAAATGCATAAATAGATACAACTTCTTCAGAGTACAGTCCACCACCATCATCCTTATAGTGCAATGCTTCCACCCAGCAACTCCTTTAGTTGGAATTTACTTTCTGTGATTCCAGGATCAGGTTTCAGCAATGAACAGTCCAAACAAAAATAGACACACTCTGGTCCACCAGCAAGGTTCTGATGAAATAAATCAGGGTACAGAAAAAAGATGACTACTCTGTAGCTCTTCACTATATGTGCATGCTCTATAGGACAACCACCCAAGAGTGATTTCAAAAGGAGGGAAAAAGCGCAGAGAACAGGCTGTACAGATAACGTGCTCCCCCCCCCCCCCCCCCCCCGCCATGTTTGGGAACAGATAGAAGTATGTCCCTGGGAAACTTCTGAAATAAGATGCTGAGACTGGTTGCTGGCTTCTGGAGCACGGGTCTGGGGTGGAAGACAAACTTCAAAGTGTATACACTTTTGGCTTTTTTTTTTTTTTTTTTTAATTAGCATGTCACACCCCTTGTCTCAGCCACGCTACTTCTGGAAACCTCTAGCAAAGCCCATGTACAAATGCCCATTCTGCTTGTTTAGCGCCAATGCACAACTATGACCATCCCCCATACACTGCCACAGAGCACGCACTGCAGACTCACACCTTAACTCATTTATCTTTGCAGCCGCATAGACAAGCATCTGTGCTTCCAGCGTGCAAGCGCGGAAACAGGCTCAAGAATAAATGACTCGACGTGCACACTGTTCACTAGAAAACCCAAGAGCAGGGCCTCGAGTCTTAAATGCATTTAAAAAGGCACCAAAGTTAGTGGCCTCATTCATTACTCTTTCTGTTAGAACACTTTCTTTTCTTCATTTTACCCCTCTAGGAAAGCTTTTAGAGCATTTTCCCCCTACTCTCCCCCAACCCAGTCCAAACTTTAATACCACAAACATACTCTCTATCTGTCTATGCACTATGATCCTTTGGAAGACCACAAACCACTGTACCCATAATTTTTTTTTTTTTTTTTTTGACAGGAGACTTTTTTTTTTTTTTTTTTTTTTTTTTTTTCCATAATTTTTTTTTTTTTTTTTGGCCAGGATCCACAGCACACAGGATCTTAGGAACCTATGCCCGCTGCAGTGGAGCGTGAAGTCTTAACCACTGGAACACCATGGAAGTCCCAAATTTACGTTTTTGTCTACCTCTCCCCCCCAAAAAGTCTTCACCCCCATGCAGACAGTATTCTTTCCATTATGAACACTGAGAACACACCTCAGCAGTATTTGCAGAGCCCGTGCCTATGTCATCAACAGAAAGCAGGTATCTTCCTACTATGCTAATGTGGTTGTGTTACTGGAAATTCTGGTTACCTGACTGCTAGATCTTCTTTACTGTGTTCATAAAGAAGCACATATTACTGTATCATGAATGT